TCATAGAACTCTAAAAAATTTTTCAGAATTTTTTATCAACTATTTAGTACTGCACTTTTTTATTTTTACCAACATGAGAAAATACGGTATTAAAAAATTCTGAAAAAATTCTCTGAAGAACTTTATGAGAAGTAATTAAATGATTTTTGTCTCTTGCAGCTTTTCTATAAAGTTGATAGTTGAGCAAAAAATTATTCAAGATATTTGGCAATTAATATCTTGTTAACTATTACGAAAATTGCAAAATGGTAGAAGACTTTTCGACTCAGTTCGATTCACTCTACCTGCTCATGATGGGTGACGAAATATGTTAAAATCACTCTGTATATGTATATTGAGAAGTAAATAATTCTTCACATAAATTTAACAACAATTTTAATAGTTTAATAGTAAGTGATTCAATTCGGTGAGAAAAATTTGAAGTAGTTCATCATGATCTTACTGTTAACATAACTATTTATAAGTAACAATTTGAAACATCATATTAGAATAATTGAAGATTCTAATTAATTCAAATAATTATTTATAAAAATAATAGAATATTACGAAGTTTATATTTAATCTTTATGATGTTTTAGTATGATATTGGCATGAAAGCGATTACAGCTCTCGCAACTAGATATGGAACTGACTACGAAGTCGGAAGTATTGCCGAGACAATATGTATGTTGAAGAAAAAAATTTAATTTATTTTCCCTCTCTTTCTCTCTTTTTGTCTCCGCCTTTCTATCTGCCTATCTTTGTATCTTATCTATGCTTAAATACTTTTATATTTTTTTCGATTGATTTATCAAAAAATTTCTTTTTTTTTATCATACTAAAAACATTGCGAAATTGAAACAATATTATTGAACACATTCCGAGTTGATAATTATATACAACAGGATGATTCATTTTTAAACTTATTCATTTTGTATTTAGATGTGGCTTCTGGAAATACTGTTGACTGGATCAAAGGCATATATAATAAATCAATCGTCTACACTTATGAATTACGTGATATAGATCAATACGGCTTTTTATTGCCACCTGAGCAAATTATCCCGACTGGAGAAGAGACTTTGGATTCTATCATAGCCATGATTAAAGAAACAAAAACTAAAAAATATGGGTATGAATTTGACACCATGCGGTGTTATAATTTTCATTATGTTAGTAGTGATATGTACATCAACACAATTTAAATACATTTACATTAAACTATAATCCGAGAATAGTACCTGGGATGTTTTCTACATCCCAGCGTCTCAAAGATGAAGCTTACAGTTTTTTGTATCAATTAGAAATTCATATTTGTTTTATAGTTGAAGTTTCCGAGAGACCTAATGTGCATAATAGAAAGAATTTATATGACGCAAATTCGTAGTCCAACCTATTGAAACCTACTAAAGTGTGAAAATCATCTCAAATGAGTCGTCGTTTACGTGATATAAGAATTCACGTATTGTAACAATGTATATTATAAATTCGAAATATAATGTGTTGAATATGAAAATGATTATAAGCACTTACTTTAATATATTTATAACAAACAAATAAATGACAATGTATAACTGTAACAATTAATGTAAAGTAGGAAAAATAGAAAATAGCAAATAATAAAATAAATTGATGTAAAATTATCTAATACAAAACAAATTTAGTAAATAAATTATTTATCGAAAGTCATTACAAATTAAAAAATATTTTAAAATGACTAATATTATTACGTTCAATTTGTACAATTTTTAAAGTTTACGTAACCTTTTAATAAATGTTTATTTTTCTCGAATTCCAAAAAATGTAAATTACATAAAATATTCAAAAAAATACTTTATATAATTTATATTTATATTTACAATTAATTCAATTTACAATTTATCATAATATA